GAGCCCCGGGGGCTGTGCCAGCTGGAGCCACGATGCCACCGGTAGGGTTCTCGACAGAGCTGTGCTGGGCTGTGGCCCTGGTTCTCCTCACACCTGATCTCCTCTCATGCCCCCTTTGCTAGTCTTTCTCCTGACTTCAGCTTCCTGTCCAGTGATCTCCTTTCTGCCTAAAACAACCAGATTTGACCCTTTTTTGCTTATCCTTGACCACCCCGAGAAGTAAAAACTGCACATGGAGGTGGTGTGAGGCTCGGTGATGCCTTACAACAAATAATTGCTTCCCAAAGATGTCCCGGTGCCATCGTTGACTAGGTTACCTGATACGGTGTGAGGGACTTGAGTTGGGACCATTGTCCTAGATTGTATGGGGGGAACTAGTGAAGTCACAAGGGTGCTTTTAAGAAGATGGCAGAAGAACAAGAGTCAGAACAAGAGACTGGAAGATGTGACGCTTCTCGTTCTGAGATGTAGGATGGGACCACAAGCCAAGAAATGCAGGCAGCTTCTACAACCTGGGAAAGGTAATAAAACAGGTTTGTCCTGCAGGTTTCAGAAGGAACACACCTTGCTCTTACTCCAGAGATACTAAGATAACACATATCTATGAGATGACCAATGTATAAAATTATAAACTATCAAGTTTGTTGACAACTTATTCCAGCAGCAAGAAGAACAAAATACAGGAGATTATGACTTCCTCATGGAAAATCATAATCTCTGTGAGTAGATGGAGAGCTTCAGAAAGATTGTTGAATTTTTTTTTTTTTTTTTATTCTACACAAACTTGATGTTTATTAGGGGCAGGATCCAAAGAAGCTTACCTAAATCCAAAATGAAAAGTCTAACATGATTAGTATTTCAAGGAACACTGTGTTGTTTAGCAGTTTAGCAACCAAGAATTTACAAATTTATAATCCATCTCCACATGGATGAATGACAAATCTCTAATTAAAAGTAGCAGAATTTTTGAGAAACACTCTCCATGTACCACCACTGACAATGCACAATATTTAACATCCCCTGTATGCAGTTCCAGCAACACAATATTTGTTTTTTGTTCTTTCAGCCACTACAAGTCCTGAAAACATAATGAGAACCTTCAAGGAGCCCTTTGAGACGCAAGACTCAGTAATTTTGTGAGAACAAAGAGAAATGTGGAGTAGCTGCTGGTACTTGCCTTTCTCTGGAAAATTGTCAAAAAAGAAATGAAGTGATTTCTCTGGGAAACTTCTGCAAGCTGCGTTGCAAGCATTTCAGCTAAGTCATTACGAGAGGCGCCACCCTGCCCCGGGGCCCCTAACTCATTAAAGGGATTACAGAGCCCGGGCTGTCTGGGTTTCACCACCTGGGACCTGTGTCACCCTGCCCAGCTGAAAGCCACTCCCTCCAGGGGGCCACCCCTCTTGTACCCTGGTCTGAGCGAATTTAGGGGAGTGACCCCTGCATTCTCGAGCTTGGTTTTCTACACTGATGATCTGTCTCTTCCCCTTTGCCAGACTTGCTGCACTGCCTAAGATTGGGGGGTTTTATGCTGGCCATCAAGCACGGCCAAGATGCTGAGCCTCACCAGGGGACGGGTGTTCACCTGGCGAAGCCACCTCTGCACCTGCCTGTGTCGTGCTGCCCCCGCTCTACCAGGCTTACGAGTCTCCTGGTCCCCAAAGCCCTGCATCACACCTTGTATTCGTGACAGTGCAGAGCAAGCCACAGCACCTCGTGGTTCTTTCCTCCTGTGTTTGCCTCTGTACAGCCATCCCCGCACGAACAGTGCCGCCCTGTTGGCCTGGCTCGGTCGCCAGCATCGTGCAGAGGAAGACTTGGTGGCCCAGCAGCAGAGCTGTGAACAGTGCAGTGCTGGATCCCACAGCCCCAGTCCAGCCCAGCTCCTCGACGACTGACATCTGTCAATGCCTCTTGGGCCTCGCTGTCCCATCTGCACAATGGGAGAATAGCTGCACACCTAGTGGGCTCCAGCTAGGAATAAAGGATGACTCAGATCTAAAATGCGTCCCAGGGTGTCTTTCACCTTCTCAGCGAAGTGACACAGCAGCATGTAGCAAATGTTGGCGACCATTTATCAGCGCAGGGACACCCTGATGGGGCCACCTCCTTGGGCCCTTGCTAAGACACCAGGATAGGCAAAATGGGGCCCAATCCAGGGTGATTTCCTCGGGGTGCTTGTGGAAATTTCATGTCACATTCTGAGGGGCTGCTTCCCCCTCTCTTTCTCCCTCTCCCTCTCTCTGTCTCTCTTTCTTTCTTAGAATAAGGTTTTGGTTTCCATGAAAGTCTAAATATGCTTAGGAAGGAAAACAGATTCTTACAAGTCATTTAATCCTTCATAAATGAGTCGGCTTGGTTTCTTTCTGTGTGGAGATGAATAATTCAGTGATACACACCTAAGAATGTTAGAGAATACGACAGTAAATTCCTGCCTGAAGGGAACATTACTGCCCGGACCGTGTTTCTTCATAAATAAACCTTAATTACTGGAAGGCCAGCTCGCCAACAAACCTCGTTATCAAATAAATGGATTAAGTAAAGTAATACTTTCTTTTTGTCATCGTAAGGCAACTCAAACTTCAGCCATGAAGCGGGACTCTTTCTGCTTTTATTTATACTTTCATTTATAATGCTGTGTGATTTGTGCACTGCTTGATTTTTATTTTCTGTCTTGTCTAGAATGAAACTTCCCCAAAGCAGGAAGCTTTGCTCTGTGACTCACTCAGATTGTCTGGCACCGAACAACAGCAAGCGCATGTTAGAGATGGAATGGCCCCTCGTTCATGAGTAAGCCAATCTTTCCACAGCAAACTTTTAGTATGAGATGGGTTAGTTGCCTAGGCTGGGCTTGAACTTGCAATCCTCCTGCCTCAGCCTCCCAGAGGGCTGTAATTGCAGATGTGCACCAGCAGGCCTTCATGGATGCCTTTTTCTAAAGCAGTTCATCCTAAAGATTTCTCAAAAGCACCTTGGCAAGTTGCATCTGAAACTGTGCTGAACTCTTGATCTAATAATTCTTTAGACCTAAACAAAAAGCATTTATGTCTAAACTTCTTCTATCCAAGAAGTTTACTGAACATTATTTAAAAGGAAATAACCTAGATGATGTTTAAATAAGGATTAGATTTAGTACATCTGCAAGCTGGGATGTTCTGCAGCCATTAAATAGCTGTAAAATTTTTTTAATAAGTAGCTTTTAAAAATCCAACAAACTAATCTAAGCAAATCAGAACACAAAATAGCATATAAAGCACACTGCTGATCATTAAAAAATAAGCACATAGGAAACAATTAGTATTACACTGATTAAAATGTGGATAACAGGCATTTCTAAGTTGCATACTTCATAAACTTGCATTGCTTTTACAAATAGAAAAGATAGGCACATTTTTCATATTTGCACTTTCTCTAATGCACACTCAATGTTTCTCATGTAATGTATCTTAGAACGAGATTTGTACCAAGAGAACAGGCTATGGTTTCCTCTTCGCAAATGTGGGAAACTTGGGTCAATGCCCATTTTCAGAGGCGCTTTATTTTCACTGGCATTTTTGCCCCTTAAGTGATTCTTTTCTCCTGAGGAAACAAAAGAGTCTGGCTTGTTGGCAGGAGGTCACACTGGTGATCTTCCTCCCCTTACTTCACCCCTAAGAACACTTGTGGTCCTCTACATAACTTGTAGGGTATTTACATTAGTGGCTCTTCTGCTTTTTTTTCCCTTTGAGACAGGGTCTCCCTATGCAATTCAGGCTGCCCTGGAACTCACTATGCAGCCCAGTCTGGCCTCGAACTCATGGCAATCCTCCTGCCTCAGCCTCCCGAGAGCTGGGATTACAGGAGTGCACCACCGTGCCTGGCTGGTCCTTCACTTTGATATAAGTGCTGAAGAAGATTTGTGAGCTTGCTCAGAGTGGCAGGGGAAGTGCCCAGTGTCTGGATAAGTAGGTTCTGTGCCAGCTAGCCAGGTACCCGAGGTTAGTGGGTTCGTAGGATGGCACCAATTACACTGCTCAAGAGAGTTGATGGGAAATTCAAACAAGCTTATGCATAGCAAAGCAGTGCTTTTTAAGCAGTGAGTTATCAGTGTGAGGGCCCTCACTAGATGATTCTGGAGTTTACTAAAAGCCATCCAGGATGTTTGTGAGAAATGCCTACTTTCAAGGTCCTACCCCGGCTGAGGACACAGACTCTTTGGGGTAGCAGCAGGGGACACACAGCTTAAACAAGTGCCACTCAGTGGGTTTTCATGTCCAGAAATGTCTGAGAGCAATCTCACAAACCGTAGTTCCCTCCACAGAATCAAGTCAATGTGATGACTGAGTTTTGCACGACCCCCTGTCATAGTGTAACCGCAGAAATCGGGCTGTCTTCCACAAGAAATCTCAGGACTCTATTTAGAAACAAACAGAGTTTAATTTGAGGCTAGCCACCCTTCATCCCTGATTTGCAAATCAGGGAAGTGGGCGCGCGCCTTCCTTTGTTCCCAGCTTATATACATTTTTGGCTTCCATGGTAACAGATTGGAATGTTGTTTTCCTTGTGCCACATGACTGGGTCAGGCCTCGGTCATGAGCCCAATCACAATGATATATACTTTCTGTACTCTGTTCTATATGTCCCCCCTTACATAACCATACATTTCCTTTATGGTTACAATGTTTATCTAGGGCCAGGGAAGGGGTGAAACAACCCAGGCAAGGTCATAGGTGGTTATCTAGGCTGTGGTATTCTTTGTCTTTGGAGAAGCATGCCAGGGCTAAGTCAGGACTGCAAAGTTAACTCTTTACAACCCCTCCGGGATGTTTTTCAAGACACATTTTGAGGCTTGCATTAAGACTAGAATTATTCTACCTTAAAATGATATGCTAAGGGTCACCATCCCCTCCAATAGTTTTGTCCATTTTGGCAGAAGTCAAGCCGAAAAAATACATATGAAATTATAAAAGGGTCAGAGGTCAAAAGGAAAGCCGCAGAGAAGAAATCCGTGACGGACTCACCCGCGTCAGGTGTTTTGTGATGAAAGGGTGCGCTCCAGGGCTGCCAGTACCTTTTCCCTGCTTCTCGACACCGCACTTGAAATGTGTAATTCACGTCTGGCTCCAAGAAGAACTCGGACTGTTGTGGGTAGGTGAGGTTGGTGTCAAACTCTGTAACCTGAGATAAGTGCACAACAGTACTAAATGACACACTGTGCTTTTGAAGGAAAGTTACTCTGCTTAGGAGAAAGACACGGAGAGCCTGCTCCCTCCTCACACTCTTCCAAGCCCTGAGGAAGGAAGAGGAGGACGTTGTACAACACGCAGAGAATCAAACGCATGCTTTAACCGCGAAAAGGGAAACTCACGCTGCTTTGTGTTTGCTGACTCTCTCAAGCTTTATGGGATCTGGAGAAAACCCCAAATGCCATCTGTTCTGCATTCGAAACAGCTGACTTTAATGGGACGGGGAAGCAAAGGACCGATGGCCTTTGGTCGTCTCCTCTCTCTCTGTCTCCCTGTCTCTCTGACTCTCGATCCTCCATTTTTTTCTCTGCTGTTGAATATTTGGATCAATAATTTTTCCTGAATGACAAAAAGAATTCACTTGCTCATGATTACTTTTAGAAAAATGACCCACAAGCTAAGCTGTTAAACTGGTCATTACTCTAGATTTAGGCAAATTTTACAAGGTCGTATGTGTGCGTGTGTGTGTAAGATAGAGAGAATAAAGCTAAAAATGTTTAAGAATGTTGAACCATGAAAAAAACAATAGAAATAAAAAAGAAAAGGCCAGAGGAATACATTGACAGTGTTTTTAGCACAATGCCTGCAATAAAAGACATAATGAAAAATGACCCCAAGCCACCCGGCTCCTGGGAGAGACTGAGGCATTTGCAGAGCACCTTCCAAAAGTCGTAGCAAGTGATTTACAGAAGAGAGCGGTGCACACTGGAAGGCAGACATCCGAAGCACCTGGAGAGGCATTTATGTTAGCAGATACCCAGGAAAGAGAGCTAAAGCTATCAAGATAAAAAGAAGAAAGAAAAGGACAAAGTATCACCCTCTTGCAGGGATTCTTCTGTTAAAACCCCCTCTTAGCATCCATCTTGAAAACTTGTCATGCATTAAAAATGCAAAATTCATGGAAATATCCTTTGGAGTGTTTGAATCCCAGACGACACCCTCAGCATTTCCTTAAGCCTGGCCTCACCTGGTCCGTTGTGTGAATACAGCCATGGCCTGTGGCCTCAGGGCTTCCTGGGTCCAGCAGAGGTCTCACCCACCCCACCCAAGACTTGCCTTTCAAACACACTCGACTTGGCTCTCTGTCAGCGTTTCTTAGAAGTTTTTCTTTCCAGTGTGTTACCCTCCATCATGTTTATAGATAAGTCCTCTTAAGGAGAAGGGACGGCCTAAAATTAAGGCAGAATTCCAAAGTTGGAAGAGTGAGTGTGTGTGTGTGTGTGTTTCTAGGGATAGAACCCAGGGCCTTGACGTCAAGCTATACCCTCAGTCATTTTGCTGTTGTTGATGTTGTTGTTTTGAGACAGGGTCTTGCTATGCAGCCCAGGCTGGCCTTGAACTCAATGTGATCTTCCTGCCTCAGCCTCCCCAGTGCTGGGATAACAGGCGTGGGCCACCACACCTGGCTCAGACCCTCAATTTTTTTTTTTTTAAATTTCCAGCCCACTCTGGGCAACTTAGTCATTTAGAGAGAACTTATCTCACAATTTAAAAAGAAAATTAAAAAGAGGACACCTTCACAGTCTCAGTTCTGGAGGCTGGGGACCCTGACCTTGGCCTCCCTCGGTTAGTGCTATCTTTCTTGGGGTGGCAGCTTGGTTCCTAGCGCATGCGGGGTGGAGGTGAGGAGTCTGGCTCCCCTGCCTGTGTTGTCCTGAAGATGGGCCCCTCCAACCTCTCACCTTTGACTTCTCCCCCTCCAGCCTCCCTGCACCCCACCGAGGAGCTTTAACCTGGTGTTCGGAGGAGGGAGGCGGGCGGCGCCCCCACCCCCGCAGCTCTGCCTCACACCAGCCCTTGGACTTCCGACCTCGAGAGCGAGGGTTCGGTCCTTTGCGACCCGAGTCCGTCAGCCCTTGCAGGGCAGGGTGGAGGCTTGCTAGTGCGCAGCCCGTGCCACTGAGGATTTCGCACTTGTTCTCGGTGCACAGAAATGAAAGCGAGTTTTAGTGCCTCGAAATAAATGATATTGAATACAGCTGTGCGTCTTTCAAGGCCACACAGGGAGGAGCAGTCAGAACAGAAGCTTTATGGCCTAAGCCAGGTGTTACCAGTAATCCCAGCCTTTGGGAGGCTGAGGCAGGAGGATCTCAAATTGAAGGGCAGCCTGGGCTACATAGCCAGACCCTGTCTACCCCCTACATGCACACATACAGAGAGAGAGAGAGAGAGAGAGAGAAAGACAGAGAGAGAGAACAAGGAAAAGAAAAAGAAGCCTTATGTCCTGCTCTGCAGTGCCTTAAATATTTACTGTTTGGCCCTTAAATGAAAAGTTCACCAACCCCTTGGGTTCACTTAATTAGAGAAATGTTACCATTAATCTATTTATTTCAACTTAAAGATAAAAATCTTCGGCCTTAGGTACCATTAAAGGCAAATAATAACAATAACAGCTGAAGTGTAAGTGCTGAGACCTTCCGACAGGGAAGGCGGAGCAGCAGTGACCGGGGCAAACCACACCGTGTGGGAGATCCTGGGTGAGGCGCAGGAAAGACTGAGCACAGGAAAGACCCAGCGGGCAGCAGATGCTCCTGAAAGAGGCGTGAGAGCGGCGCAAACTGCTGCCGGCGCCGGGAACTCACTTCCTGTTACTGTGGCTCTGAGGCAGGGTCTCCCTGTGCAGTCCGGGCTGGACGCGGACTCACCGTGCAGCCCACTGGCCTTGAGCTCACAGAGAGCCTCCTGCCTCAGCCTCCTGAGTGCCGGGGTCACAGGTGTGCACCACTACATCCAGCCTAGCTCCGCTTCTCGGAATCTAAGAAGGAACTAAGACGAAGGTGGGGACGGGAAGCTCGGAAACGGTCCCCAGGGTGCAGTTTGACTTACAGAGCAGAATTGGAACCATTTTTCAGTAGATCACAGTGGGGCCTCACGTGGCCATGGGAGGCCTGGCCAGTCCCTTCCCTCTCGGGCTCCGCGCAGCTGAGCCAAAGGGGCTCGAAATCCACCCCCCACCCGCGTTTCCAGAGGTCTCTGCACGACCTGCCCTGCCCAGGGCTCCCCCAGCTAAGGCTGAAGAATAAAAACGACAGCGGGCAGCGCTGAATGACAGCCCGACCCTGGGTGCCGAGTGAGTCCTGCACCGTCCAACCCGGCCCGACACACAGACACACACGCGGTGTCTCAGTCAAACACGCGGGCCCTGGGGCTCAGAAGAGCACGGCCGCTCTGGGCTGCACGGCGGGGCCGGTGCTCAGACTCCAGACTGCAGCTGTGCACGGGACAGGCTGAGGCGGTCGCTGGCACTGCCAGGTCAGAACTGACCTGCGGCGGTGTGGACAAGGGCTGCCCCCAGCCTGGACTTGGAGGGACCTGCGGTCCTCTGCGTCTGCCCTGTCTTCGCCTCTGTGTCCTTGCCCCTCCTCTCTGCTGTCTTCTCTTCCTCCCTCCCTCCCTCCCTCTCTCCTTCTCCCTTCTCTTTCTCTGTGTTTTTGGTCTTGCTGGGGTTGGAACCCGGGGCCTTCTCACTGAGCTGCATCCTCAGCCCTTTCTACTTTTTATTTCAAGAGAGGGTCTCACTCGAAAGCCGCTACCGAGGCTCAGCTCAAGCTTGCCATCCTCCTGCCTCAGCCTCGCAGAGTGCTGAGTTTTTCTACACATTTCTGTTTCTCTAGTGCCAGACACAGTTCAGCACAGAATACTTAACATGTCACATCTCGTGGTCACCGATGTGAACGTCACCTAGGAGACACTGAGGCTAAAAACAGAACAGATCCTCTCTGTTGAAGATTTGGTCCATTTAGCGATTCAGGAAAGGCAGGAAGAGCATTGCAGGAAACTGGTCTCTGGGAGGTCGCGGTCACCGTTACTAAGCTACGGAGGCTGGAGGGCCGCACGGCCGGGTAAAGGCATGAGAGGCAGGCGGCTGCGCTGGGGCCGTCCCCTGCGAAGAAGGCGGAGCCCCGCTTACCGTCCACGTGCGGTTGGCGGCGGCCGCGTGCCGGACCTCGCAGGACAGCCGCTGCAGCGCCGTGTCGCTTTCCCAGTGAACGACGGTCTTGGGAGCAGTGGCATTCAGGGTCTCCACCCTGGAAATGACGGATGCAGACGGTATCACTAGAAAAAGGGACAGCGATGTCACAGGTTAACCCGCTTTCAGAGACGCCGGCGTCACCGCATCGACATCACAGGTGTGAAAAGCTCCAAGTCCAAAGCACCGCCGGCCTCGTGACCCAGTTCCCACCTGGCGAACCTGCCCTGGTCTGGTCTGTAGGGGAGAGCAGCTGCTTCTAGGTTCTATTCTGCTCTTCTCTATTTTTTGAATTTCACTTTCTTTGAGACAGGGCCTCACTGGTGGAAGTGGGGGCGGCCCGGGGCTCACAAGGCCTCCCACATGCAGTGCAGGCGGGAAAGTGTGCTCAGGCTCAGGGCGGGGACAGGGTCCTAGATGCCCACAGTGCACCCCAAGCGAGAGAAGGCTTCGCAGCCCTGGCCGGGAGGGGAGCCGCAGTCACGCTGCAGTGCGCTTTGCTTCCCCCTGAGAGCGGGGCAGAGGCATCAAGGCTCTGGACTTAGGGCTTTCTAGCTCTGTGAGCTCAGCATGGAAGATTCCACCCGGCCTCGGGTGTTCCCGAGTACAAACGATAACCTTTATCTGTAAGGCAGGAGTACCATGAGGGGCCAATGAAATCCTGCACGTAAAAGCAGCTAGACACACACATGCTCAGTAAATATTAGCTTCTTGGGGTTCTCCTTAATAACAGGGGTCATCCGTGCTGTGACCTGTGCAGAGAGGGAGTCCCATTTGGTGCTCCTGTCTGAGTTCGGATTCTGGGAGTTGGTGTAGGGGTAAAAGCTTCAAGGTAAATTACGAACTGACTGATTGATTGATTGATTGATTGATTGAGATAGTCTGACGATGGCCTCAGAAAACAACCAGGATTACACAAAAATGGACCGCCAGGTTGTTCCTGGGAGGAGAGTTTACAAAGTGAAAACTGAGGATGGTAAACCTCCACCACCGTGGGTCAGACAGACACACTCGCACAACCTGAACACGACACGAGCTGAAGCCCCCGGAGAAGGAATTGTTTAGTAAGCAAGGGGCGCGGTCAGAAATACCCGAAAACCGTCTGCTTTGGTTACATCTGGCCGGCGAACTTGGGGAGGGCTGCCGAGTTCTCCTTGACTGTCTGTGCATTTTGTAAAACACAAACACGAAGACGGGAAACCCCGCTTCTGTCCCCAGACAGAGCGCCCCCCACGCGCCCCCTCGCTCCTTCACGACCCTTGCTTCTTCCCGTTTGTTCCCTGGAGCACCGCAAGCTGTTTCAGAGCAGGCGATTCTCACCAAGGTCCTTTGTTTTGCTGTCTCTGGCCCTTAGGGCAGTGTCCAGACCGAGGGCGCTCCTGATAAATACGAAGCCCCGTAAAGTCACACATACCGAACAGAGACACAACGGGAAGGACGGGCGCAGGGTGCTAGCGGGACTCGTGGCTGAGCTGCTACAGACAGTGGCACCGTGGCCCCTCCGAACGAGACTGCGTTCGGCTAGGCCAGCATAAATTCCTATATGAAAGATGCATGAATCCCAGCACCAGGGAGGCTGAGGCAGGAGGAGCGCCCTTGGGCTAGGTAGTGAGTTCGAGGCCAGCTTGGACTACACAGTGAGACCCTGTCTTGAAAAGTTAAAAGAAAAAAAGGTAAAGACTTTATACTCGCTTCTCACCTATGTCATCCAGACGAACTCGCGAGGGTTTGGACTCCTCCGTGCCCAGCGCGTTTGCGGCCTGGACCCAAACCCAGTACTCCCCGCCGGCGGGCAGCGCCTGGGTGGAGATGTTGGCGGAGCTGGAGGCGAGATACCGACGCTCTTCTCCGGTCTCCAGACTTAAAAAGAAAAATCACCTTTAGTTTGCTTCATCGGTTTTACAGCCCACCTCTCCCAGCTTCCGGACTCTCAACCTCGTTCTGAGAAGTGAGGCAAATTCCATCTACTTCCTGAAAAACTGAAGAATGAGGGAGAGCTGGCTCCGCGGCACATGCCTGTCACCCCCGCACTCTGGGAGGCTGAGGCAGGAGGGTGGAAGCTGTGTGGCTCCCTGTCCCAGGGGACCGGCCTGCCAGCACCTAAGGGGAAGACACAGCTCAGAAGCCACTGCCGTTTCTGCCCCAGGGCTCAGCTCGGGTGCCCACTCCTGGGAGTCTGCTCTGCGGCTCCCAGAGAGCTCCAGCCTGCGACATCCAGCCGGGTCGCTCCTCACAGCACCTCCGCTGCATCCCCCGGAGCTCAGGGGAGCCTTGCGGAGACACAGAGGGGAGGAAGCCGCCTCCTCGTGCTGCCAGCAGCAGTGTGTTTGTGACTGAATCGTTCTGAAACTAAATATACGTGTGTGTGTGTATGTAGGCTTTGTATACAAGGGTGACTGAGAAATTATGTTTACATAAAAAAATTATGAAGCGTGTTGCCGCTCATGCTCCTCAAAATACTCCGCTTCAAACACACTTGCCCCCTGGTCCTTGTCACTGTCTGCCTGGCTCTGGGGTCCTCTCTCCTGAGGGTCTTTACGAGATACGATCAAAAACACAGTGACTGCTTGTGCCAAGCGCCAAAAGGCAGAAAGGCAGCTCATAGAAACACAGCGCTGTGTCCCTGTCCACCGCAGTCACCGGATCCGCAGCGAGTGACTCCCGGCTCCTCCCCAAAGCCAGGATGAGCAGGAGAGGGAAACGTTTTGAATGGATTCAGGACATCGAGGCAGCGGGACAGCGCAGCTAAAGACCCTCAGGAGGGAGGACGCCAGAGCTGCTGCAGGACCCGGCCGGGAGGGTGGGACGAGTGTGCTGGAAGTGAGGGGGAGGGTTCTGAAGGGATTCCTGCCACGTGTCTTTTATTGTTATAACTTTTTTTAAGTTGAAAGATTCACCACATTTCTCGGGTATAGCTCACACAGTCTGCTGTGCACACAGAAATCCTCTAGCAGAGCAGGCTGCCTGGGCGGGCGGCCAGGGACCTGTCCCGGGCTGAGTCCGGCTGTGGGGAGGGGACCGCACTGCGAGGTGGAGCCCGCGCTCCACCTCTGCTCATCTGCCCCCAGTGAGATCGCTGCGACCAGCAGAAGGGGACGAGGGGTGGGTCATGGTGACTGAAAGCACCGGCTGTGTGTAGGCTGTGGGACTCCAGGCCGGGTACCTGAGCTTGGCGGCCTGCAGTGTGCTCCCCTGTAAAACAGGTTTGATGGCACCGTGTTGTCAGAAAGTGAGACAAGAAAGCCAGGGCCAGAAGACTTCACACATAACAAACAAAAACTGTTGCAATGAATTAAAGCTACTTGCCGGTGTGGTGACGAAAGCCTGTAAGCCCAGCACTCAGGAGGCTGAGGCAGGAGGAGCATTTCGAGTTCGAGACCAGCCTGGGCTACAAAGTGAGCTCAAGGTGGGCCTAAACTGCATAGCGAGACCCTGTCTCAAAAACACCAAAAAAAAAAGCTACTTATCATTTATCTTTTTTAAGATTTATTTATTTTTTAAGAAAGGATCTCGCTATACATAGGCCCAGGTTGGCCTCCAACTCATGGTGATCCTCCTGCCTCAGCCTTCCAAGTGCTAGGATTACAGGCAAGCACCTCGACATGATATAATTTATCACTTTTATGAACTCAAGTGAAGCAACATTGCTTTATTGCTTTAATATTGCTTACATCAGCAGGGCATAGTGGCAAATAATCCCAGCACTCGGGAGGCTGAGGCAGGAGGACTGCTGTGAGTTCGAGACCAGCCTGGGCTACATAGTGCGTTCAGGGCCAGCCTGAACTGCACAGCAAGACCCTGTCTCAAAGCAACAACAACAATAAAATATTGCTTACATCTGAAGTTGCATTAAGCCACTAGGTTTCAGTATTTTTATAACTACTTGCTACTCTTTCTAAATAAAATGGAACGTAAATATGCTAACAGAGACCCTGAGAGGGGACATGGTAACCTTACCTGAAACAAGAGCTCAAATGTGAAGACAGGAAGGTGGCAGCGCTGGGGGAGTGGCAGGTGGGATGTCTTTGAATATTTTCCAGTTAGAGCAGGCCACACACCTGCTCTCGGTTCCTCTGTGGCTAACTCTTTTACCACACACACTCAGACCGGAAGTCAAGTGGAAATTTATTCTCAAACCAGCATTAGTCAGAGTTACTAGGTCATTCGACTCTGCTTTGAAGGCCGTCCCATACGAGCACCTAGTCCACGTTCAGTTTTCCACTATTTCAGTTGAAAACCCAGTAACCAGGGGTGGCTCTGTCGAAGGACCCTTCCCACACAGAGCTTGCCCCGGGGCGGCACAATACCAGGAAATACCGCGTGCGCGGGCCTGGGGCTGGCTCCTTTACACAGACCTCAAACCTTGGGGATCTTGGGATGCTGGGCACCTTTCTGTACCCTGAGGTGCCCCAGGAAGCTCAGGGGGCTGCCTGCCAGGGGACCCCCAAAGACCCCAGTCTGTGGAGGGATGGAGCACTCCTGCCCTGGCAAAGGGTGGACATCGAGAGGCTGGTGGGTGGACCTGCACCTTCTCACACACCTGGCCCTGGCAACGCTCTGATCTGGCTGACCACTGGGTCCTTCCTGTGTCCTTCATGTGAAGGGCTAAAGGCTCTCCGGCATCTGTGTCACAGCGGAAAATTAACCGAGGAGGAGGTCTGGGAATCTTACTTTTTAGCCCATGAAAAGCAACATGGCAGTCGGGCGCAGTGGCACACACCTATGATCCCGGCACCCAGGAAGCCGAGGCAGGAGGATTGCTGCGAGTTGGGGGGCAGTCCGGGCTCTGAAGTGAATTCGTCAGCCTCAGCAACATGGTGAGAACTTGTCATAACAAAGATCAGGACTGATCAGGACTTGGGGTTTCTGGTTGGCGTGAGAGTGGGGGTCCGTCTGTGAGCCGTCACTATGTGAGATCTGCTGTCACCTCGTGGATGGGATGAGCACGGAGCTGGGGGCACCGGTGGGGCGTGCTGTGGAGAAGGTGGTGTTGGGGATCTCCCGGCCTCTGGTCAGTGTCGTGTCCAGAGGAGAAAGCGCCGCTTCTTACGTGTGGGTTGGTGCAAATTGTTCCTCTCGCTCTCCAAGCGTCTGTCTGTGAGTGAGCTCGTATATAACTGATTCTCGGCTGAAATGACGTCCTTTTTTTTGGTGGGTACCAGGAATCGAACTCAGGACCTTGCGCTCGCCAGGCAGGCGCTTGTGCTGCTGAGCTATATCCCCGGCCCTGAAATGACCTCCTGATGTTCCCGTTTTCCCGATGTTGCCCAGGCGCCCTGCTGTAGTCCCAGTGAACTGATCTTCATGAACTGCTCACTTTCAGCGACACAGATGAATGCGGTCACCTGTTTATTTAATCACGCGGGCAATAAATGTTTACAAAGCACCAGTCACACACGAAGTGCTTCTTTAGACTTTGGGACCATGAGTGAAGCAGACAAATCACAGCTCACGGGGAAAACGCGTCCGATGGAAACAAACACTCCAGAAGATGTCTGCAGCAGGCGCAGAGCCGCACACCTGTGACCCCAGCACTTAGTGAGGCTGAGGCAGGAGGATGACAAGTTTGAGCCCCACCTGGGAAAACTAGAAAGACCCTTGACTGAGAAATCTGAGACTTTTTAAAAATTAAAAGGGCTGGGGTGTATGTTAGTGGGAAGGTGTCCTTGGGCTTAATCCCGAGGGCCACCAATAAGAAATGGAAAAGCTGTTAAGGAGAGAAAGCAAGCAGAATTGAGGAGTCCCAGAGTCCCGGGAGTGGGGGTGGGGGACTTGTGGTTCTGAAAAATCAAAGCGGGGCAAGCCCTGTCTGAGGTGGTGCAGGGCAGTGAAGGAACAGACCCAGTGCCTCTCCTGAGGAAGCGAATTCATCATATGCAAAGGGCCTGCGGCAGAACCAAGCTAGGTCTGTTCAGAACAGACTCAGCAGGCGGAGAGGGAGGGAGCAGGAGAGGACAAGGACGCCCCAGGAGGCAGTGGTGGGGAACCCCACAGGGTCTCCCAGTGTGCTGGCTGTGACCTCAGAGGGCAGCGCTGGTCTGCACAGAGGGGTGAATGACTGAGGCACCCAGGACCGCCATGGGGATAGAGGAAGGGACAGGGATGGCCAGGAAGTGCTGTGCTGTCGGAAGTGGGAAGAGGCTGGCCCAGGGCTGAGCTGTGGCTGGGGAGAAGAGGGCAAGTTTTATGCTTTTATTGTTTGTTTGTTTGCAACAGGGTCTCAGTATGTAGCCCACGCTGGCCAGGAACACACAGCAACCTTCCTGCCTCAGCCTCCTGCGTGCTGGGGTGAAAAGCATGCACTGGCTGGGGAGAGATCGAGTGCCGAGCAGAGGCTGCCCCTGGGCAGGGTGCAGGGTGAACTGGGGAGGGGTGGGGAGAGGGTTGGGGTGCAGGGACTGGAGGGGACATGGAAGGAAGGGGATGTGGGGTGCAAGGAGCTGTCCGGCGGAGGGAGGACCCGGGGCCCGGGAGCTCACGCCACAAATTTGCCGCGGCTTTTAGGTCGTGGGTGCGGATGAGGAGGCTGAGAGCTGCCAGGGAGCGCGGGGTCTGTGCTGCTGCACTGGGATCGGAGGGACTGAGCGCAGCACCCAGGAGGCAGCAGAAGGCAGAAAGGCATGGGGCCAGAGTCAGAGAGGAGAGCGAAGAGCGGCAGAGCGGGTGAGCCCAGCGGAGAGTGCTGCTGCCCGACCTAGAGCGAGCACAGAAACCCGAGGTGAGGAGGCGCCGGGCGAGCGAGGTGCCACACACCGGTCACGCCAGCACTCGGGAGGCTGAGGCAGGAGGGTCGCTTAAGTTCAAGGCCAGCCTGGCATGGCAGGCGGCTTTCTCCTCGGGAACAGTGGGGACACTCACTGTCTCCTGGAATTTCTTTCGACTCACGATCTTGTTTCTCACGCGCTGGAGGGTGAAGGGCCGTGTCTCCTTGTTTGGGGTATTTGCCTCCAGGAAATTGGACTTGGATTTGCTAGAGGAGCGTACTCGTATCACCCGTCACATTCTTTTTCGTTGTTGGTTTTTGAGTCTTTTGTTTCTTTGTTTTTTTGAGACAGGGTCTCACTCTGTAGTTCAGCCCGGCTTCAAACTCACTGTGTAGCCTGGGCTGGCCTGGAACTCTCAGAGATCCTTCTGTCTCAGCCTCCTGAGCGCTGGGATGACAGGCGTGCACCACCACCCCTGGCTAATTTGCTTTCTTTTAAGAGGCACGGTGTTAATTATCCTCACTTTACAGCAGGTCGAGACCCAGCAAGACCAAATAACTCACACAAGATCTGCCGGAAACTATGGCAGATGCCGCTAGGCAGCATGGACCGATCAAGGCCGGCACGCTGAGGACCGCAGCGCCGAAAGACGGGAGGGCCTGGACGCCAACTGGATCCTACACTAGTGCAGTGCTGCGTGCGCTGCGACCTGGGGTGAAGACGACCCTGGGTACTCAGCCGCCGCCCCAGGGCTGTCTGAGAGTTGCAGCGTCTGAGACACGGGTTAGTTCCAGAGCTGGAAGTCAGACAGGAGGCCGAAGCCCACACTCGCTCTGCCGACGCCCGCGGAGGCCCGCTCTTCCGCAGACCTGCTCTTCACACCCTCGGAGCCTGCGCCGACAGCGGCCTCGGCGGTCACCTCCGCAGGCGCTCCTCTTCACCGTAGGAAGCAGCTGCGCTTCTCAGCAGCGCGGTGAGCCGTTCAAACGCTGCACCTCGGAGGGCATCAAAGGCTTGGAAATACGTACTGCGCAGTCGTAACATGCGGGGGACATTTTTATGCTATTAAGTAGGAGATCGGGCGGTGACTGGCAAGTCTGAAGTTTTGCCTGACTAGATTTCCTTGAGTTGAAGTTTGTCTCTTCCAGATTTTCTGCCCAAACTCACTGTCAGGAACCCAAGAATCAGCCGGACCCACCGGGACACGGCAGCAGACAGGTAACAACAAGGGTGGGCGTGGCAGAGCTGTCAGCGCCCTGCGCACTGTTAGCGGACGTGTGGACGGCAAAGCTGCGGGGAAATATTGTGGCCTTTCCTCAAAAGTCCAACAGGTACATGTCTACGTGACTCGGCCATTGTGTGCCTAAGCGTGACCCGAGGAGAAATGACAACATGCCTACACACGCACACACAGGTGCTAAGAGAAACACCACCCACAGAAGCCAAAGGGTAGAAATAATCCAGTTGTCTATCAACTAATGTAAGGATAAAAGCAACACAAGAGAGCCACAGAGTGGAATATTATTAGGTCATCAAAAAGACCAGAGTACTCATCCATGCTACTAAGGGATGAACCCGGAAGTCATCCTCGGTGAACGATGCCAGTCATAAAAGCCCACCCCCTGTATGGTTCCCTTCCTGCGAAGCGTCTCAGGAGGCAGAGCCTCAGAAACGGAAAGTTGATGGTGGAGAAAAAGGAGGTGGCCGCTGTGGGCCGGGCGTCTCCTTGGCCTGCTGGAAATAGTCTAACATTGGTGGGGGGAGAACGGCTTGCGTTTGGTTTGAAGCCAGCTGAGCTAGAGCCAGCTGGCTCCCACTCCCTAAAATGAAGGAGGGGCACGGAAAGGGCTGGGCCCCTAAGGGGACCCTGCGGGGCGGAGCAGCAGGGGCCTGGGTCTGCTCCGTCGGGCGTTGTCGGGGGCCTGGTCCTGAGAGCAGGGCGGGTCGCGGCCGGGGACGGCACCCACCTCTTCACGCGCACCGCGAACTCCGTGTCCACGTGGGTGGGCCTGCCCGCGGCCCAGCTGCACGTCATGCGGCCTGAGTACTCGCGGATGGCACAGGTCACCTCCCGGGGGGCGTCCGGCGGGTCTGCAGAGGACAGAACAGCCCTGAGAGCCGCCGCTGACCCCGGCGAGCTCGGTCCCCGTCCTGGCCGCCGCCCGGGGCCCACCTGTGTCCCGCAGGGCTGTGGGCGTTCCATGGCAGCCTCCCCACCCCGGGACACGGGCGGCTCCGGTTCACAGAGGCAGAGCCTCAGCCCCGGGTCTGCTCTCAGCTCTGTTCCCGGCCGCCCGGTTGCTCGTCTCCGTCCGTCCCTGTCTCTCGGGCCTCGGCCTGTCTCTGGTCACAAAGCCCCCTGCGTCCTGTCAGTCACTCCTGACCTTGACCTTGAGCCCGGCCCTCCCCTCTCCAGCCTGTCCCCTCTCAGGCTCTGGGGCCGGAGCAGCGGGGAGCGAGCCTTCTTCCCTGAGCCCCGGCGGGCTGTCTCCTCTCCAGCGGGCCCCGGCCCCCGCGCAGTGTGACAGCCACACGGGGGACGCTGGCCTCAGCCCGGGGGGAGGAAAGCTCACGCCTGCTCCGGCCTGGGTGAGCGGGCCACAGCGGACACACGGGGACAAGCCCGCCCGGTTCCCCCGAGAGCAGGGCCCGGAGGAGCCACCGCCCAGCGACAGAGGCCGCAGCCGCGCGGCCGGGCGTGCCGCTCAGTGGCGCGGAGGCCCCGCTGGCCGGAGCCGCAGAGTTTGCACTGTGCCCTTCACCCACGCAGAACGCAGCCTGCTGCCCTGCGCGTTTTAGCACCCGCTCCGCCGCGTCAGGCAGGCTTTGTGAAAGGTTTGGTGCTCACCGAACTGGACGGAAAGGGCCTGCCTTCCTGTCCCACGCACGGGGCCCGCCCGCCCCGGCTCCCCTCCCGGGCCCGGCCTCAGTGGGGCCTGAGCTACAAGACCCTGTCCCTGAGAAATGAAGCAAAAGCAGAGCAACAACCAAAGAATGAAGCCGGCATGGGTGGGGAAACCAAGAGGTGGGACAGGACAGCACTCCGAGCACGCCGCTCACACGCTCGGCCGGCACCGGGGCAGCGTCAGGCCGCCAGCAGTCACCGGCGGGAGCAGTGCGGACCAGGACCTAAGAGGAGCAGCGGGACTCTTGTGTGTCTGCACACCCACCGCGGCGGGCTCTTCCCAGCAGGGGCACAGAGCCGGGTGCGCGCCTGCTCAGCGCACAGGACTCCTGGGGAGGGGCGAGAGCAGAGAACAGAGACGCGGACATTTACGCGCCTGAACCTGCACCCGAAGATCTGTTGCAGTAGAGACGCCCTTATATTTCGCCTGCAAATCTCCCACCCAAAATATTACTTGTATGAAAACTTATGAGAAGCTGCCCTCATGGAGAAGCACAATGACAGTGGTGTCGTTGAGTTCTGTCACACGGGCACGGGCTGGAGAGAGGGTGTGCACAGTGCTAGAAGAGCAGCTAGCAAGGTCATCGCCCACCGCTGCGGTGGAGCGCGCCCGGGCCGCCTGCACCGGGGCTGCTTGCGTATCGCAGGCGCTGCAAGTGAGCGGACGCTTTCACACCCCGGTGGTGTCCCACCGCGGAGCTATCCTCAGCGAAATGGCCACAGCGATCCGAAGAGAGCTGGCTAGCACAATGTGGCTGAAATGTCAGAAACCACCTCGTACCCCGGGTAGGATTAAATGATGATGGATGCTTAAAATACATCAAAAATTTTAAAAAAAAGTTGCAAAATAGTTTAGCGCCAGAGAGAGATTCGAAAGACAGTCCAATCACTAAGGAGAAACTACATAATTGGTAAAATTATGGGCTTATGGAGATGTTTGGTTGTTTTGCTGATCTATTTTCTTTGGTGTTTTTGAGACAGGGTCTCGTTATGTAGTAAAAACGGTCCTTGATCTCACTTTGTAGCCCATGCTGGCCTTGAACTTGAAGCGGTCCTCCTGCCTCAGCCTCCCATGTGCCGGGATGACAGGCACGCACCACCACCCATAAATTTTTTAAACTTTCTACAATGAATCCAATGGATTTTACATTTAAAAACTGTTTTCCAGCTGTAGGAGCACGTGAAGTACTTTGAAACATTTTGGAGAGTTGCAGCACCAAGGTGCAGAGAGAAGCAGGTCTGAAGCAGAGAGAAAGAAATCTCCCAGCTTCGCTTGAGCCTGCAGGAGCCCAGTGGAGAAACACAATTTTAAAAACTAGTTACTTATTTATTTGTTTATTTTTGCAGTACTGGGCACTGGACCTTGGGTCTTTGCACTGAGCTACATGGCTGATCCTTTTTTAATTTTTATTTTGAGACAGTGTCTCATTAAGTCACTAAATTGCCCAGATTGGACTCAGATTTGCAATCTTCCTGCCTCAGCCTCCCAGAATGCTGGAATTACAGGCATGAGCAATCACACCTGGTCAGAAACATAAATTTAGATAATTGTGGACATTGATTGCAATGTTATCTCTTACTTACTGTGATAACTTGTGCGGAAGTTATTTTTTCCTGTGGTTTCACGTAGAAAGCACTGCTAAGCTGGTAATCACAGAAGATACAAGTCTACATTTTGGGCTGTGTCACTGCAGCATTCTGGGCTCGGTGAATGCTCAGGATTATAAATGCCGGGTGGTTAATTAACTTTGCAAACAACAACTAGAACTCGACATGTAAGCCGAGAAGCACGGTATTTTTTGCTAGTGTGAAGCAGAGTAAGAGTGGCTCGGTGGCTCGGAGGGTGGCACCCACTCATTAGATCTCTCTGCCAAGTTGTTCAGTAGTCAAGAGCTAAAACCTGCTGTACAGTCAGAGCCTACAGACACCCTGAAACTTAGTCTGTGCCCTCTGCTGCCAATCCCATCCTTCTTTTATTCCTGGGACCCTCGCTGACCACAGGACTCTTGTTAATTCAGCATAGCTGAGGGTAGTTTCTACTAGAAGCCTCTTGAAAGCAAAGCTTGTGGTTCTCCCTTCTCTGCCTTCCCAGCACTGAGCACATTTTAGATGCACAGTAGCCCCTCAGTGGAGATAACTTCATGATTGTGTGACTTGGTTAATAAGACAAGGACAAGAAGCATCAAGGCAGGCCCATGGCCAAGGGTGGCTGTGCACACCTGTAATCCCAGCACTGGGGAGGCTGAGGCAGGGAGACTGCTGAGAGTTTGAGGCCAGCTGGGGCTACATAGTGAGACCCTGTCTCAAAAAACCAAAATAATAATGATGATGATGATGATAATAATAATAATAATAATAGTGAAATAACAACAACCAAAAAAGCCCCCTCAAAAATGAAGGCAGGCACGATGTTTTGGCATAGACCACACTGAAATTCCTTTCACAGAGAAGACCCAGGCAGCCTAGCTGCATGGTAATAACACACACTGCCTCCTTGTTCCCACTTTACCAGAACGGACTGTTCTGTTGAGCCGGGTGAAGCACTTACATATTTTACTTACATATTTTACACATGAGACGCAGCTCAATTTCATAAACCAATACTTAACGATAGGTATTCTGGGGTTTTTATTGGATTAAAAAAATTTGCTTCAATCACTTAAAAGAGGTAAAACATGGTTAAATTTTAAGTCAATGTTGCTTAAAATTTGAAATAAATGAGTAAGAGGAAACACGACTGCCTACAGTTTATTTTAACTGGAATTTTTAAACGAATGAAGGTATCTTGAGGTGTTTTAATCCCGAGACTGGTGTGATCCCCGTTTGAACAAACTTCCTGTACTATGTGTGTATTTTGTCCAAACTAAGGGTCTAAGAAATGTTTAAGATTATGGCCTAAAGTGGAAATTGTGATAGTTTATATTTCACAGGTTATGGGTTAGAGTAGAGAAACTTAAATACATTTGGATATCTTCTCAGGGAAAGTAATGACTCACTTATTTTCTATCTTTCACGATTTCCCTGCAGTCTACGAAAGCGCCTAGAATCATCCTGTCCGAAACGGTGGTGATAAACGAACCTGCTGAAACACACAGGCCCCATATCCTGCCATCAAAGTGGCTCAGTGAGAGCATTGTGATTTCTAGAATGCCACCAAACCCCTCCAAAACGCTTTTCTGACCCACTTACTTAGGAAGCTTGCTGGCTAAGCGTGGAGCGCCTGAGAGCACGTTCGGCTTGAATCCGGGGCTCTGAGGAAACTCTCACGCGGTTAGCATCCTGCACGCATAACCAGGGCTCTGCGAGAGGAGCTGCGGGCCCCCGGGCCCCCAGAAGGAAAGAGGGGGTTCTTTCTGTGCAGCCACCAGAGGAGAGCGAAAGTGCTTCTCTGAGGTGTTCTGGGAGGGGTCCCTCTGACCACCTGGTCTCAGGCTCCAGGGTGACAGCGCTCAGCCCACAGCAGGAGGGCTGTGGGGGCAGTCAGATCAAAGACACCGCCCAGGGAAGGAGGGGGCGCTCCGTAGGGGGCCGCTGTTCAGGAGCGAGCTCCCGCCTCGCCCCGCAAGACCACTCCAAAGTGGAGTGATGGGGCCAAGTGCAACGCGACCAGCCTGAAGCTTTGAGGAAACAGGCCACACCCCCCACAGCCCAGCTGTCCTGCAGCCAGAAGGCGCCAACACCCAGGGAGAGAGGCCTGTCCTCTGACCTGGCGGGCGAAAAATCCCCCTTGGTTTTCTCCTTGTGAGGAAGCAACGGGAAGTAACGTGGAGGTAACAGGAAGTAGCAGGACGCTGACTGGAAGTAACGCTCTGGCAAACCCCTTCACACTTTCTCTCATTGTGTAATTTTTCTGTGTCCTTGTCCCCACTTTACCTAAACGGACTGTTCCATCAACCCGGGCGAGGCACTCACACATTTTACAAAGTGAGATGCAGCTCAGCTTCATAAACCAAGCATCTGTACAGTGAGATGCCACCCCAGCTAGACAAAAGCCAAGGTGACCTAAAAGTGAAATCCCCTGGAATGCTATCTTTTGAAGGAGGGGAGTATTTATTTCACATCCTTTTATTTCTCCGGCTCAATGAACAACGAAGCTCTGCCTATAACCCAGGAAGCCACTTATTCGTGCTGCAGAGAAGGTGCGCAGCCGCTCCTCCCTCCCTGCACCCAGCACGGGCGCAGGGAGCTGCTCTCGTGCTGACAGGGGGCTCTGCTTCCTCAGGATGTGGACAGGTGCGGGAGAATCTGCACATCAGATAAGAAGTCAGCCTGTGGTTGAAGTTCCACAATTTAGGGCAAGGTGAAGGCACGAAAGTAGAAGTCTACCAACGCCACTCTTTGACGCCCCGACCTGTACTCTCTTCCCCAATTCACCTTTCCCTAAATTCTCTCTTTGAAAGGCACAGAGGCAGGTAAGACAAAGACCTCACGGGACATCAGCGTAGCCAGCGTCGTGGGGTCCCTGACCCGGCTCTTGTAGCTAAGCTGGAAGTGAGGAAGAAGGAAGAACTCAGATTTGATTCTCAAAAGCATGAAGGGCTGGGCATGGTGGCCCACATCTGTCATCTCAGCTCTCGAGAGGCTGAGGCAGGAGGATTGCTGGGAGTTCCAGGCCAGCCTGAACTGCACAGCGAGACCCTGTCTTGAAAACACAAAGCATGGAAGAAGGGAGCCTGGGACAGATGCAAAGCCCTTTGTGTGTTGTTGAAAATGGGCGTAGGTGCTGTAGAGGATGGATCCCTCGATTAAAACAATTTAAACAGATTAAAATAGATCCTTTGACTAATCGATCTTTACAGTAGAACTGAGTCCTAACTATGTACATCATTATACAAGTCAGCGCATGTGAGGATAGGAACGTCAACTTTTCAGAATACCATGAGCACACAACCACTTACCCCACAGATCAGCTGAACTAATTTTCTCTTAATAATTACAGTACCAAACTGTAGTTGCAGCAGACTATGGAATTTCCATTAAAGGATCGTTTGAGAACCTCTCTACATTTTGTCAAAAGGAGGCATTTTTAAGGATTTAGGCATTGACGTACTTACAGTTTGTAAAATGTATTTAAATAAATTATTGAGGTTCAGTACCTAACACAGCCATATAATTGTCTGCATTCGGCAGGCAAACAATTGGGGCGCTGACGGGTTAAAAACTTGCCCACAGCTACTCAACTAGTAAAAAAGAGCACAACAAGAACACAGCTAGTTTTACAACTTTCTCTGAATCTTGATCACAAAAATCTCTCAATAGCTGGGTGCGTGCCTATAATCCTAGCATTCAGGAAGCTGAGGCAGGAGGATCACCATGAGTTCGAGGCTAGTGTGAGCTACATAGTGAGTCCAAGTCCAGCCTGAACTAAGTAGAGAGACCCTCTCTGAAAAAAAAAAAAATCTCTCAGTGCAATCTGCTTCACAGTGAATGACATTATTATGGAAAATAAACAAACAAAAAGTATAAGGGAAAAAAATGAAAAGAGGAACATTTTAAATCTGAGAGTGCTGGCTTCCTAGGCCCTGTCTGGCCAAGCTAGTAGTAAAAATCTTGTTCTTCTTTTTCTTCTTCTTTTAATGGATTCACTATATTTTAAAATTTGGAGTTCACATTAGACAATATTATTGGCTGCCTTTGGAGAGACCCCCGGGACCCCCATGTGCACTGGGTGTGGCCACTGGCTGTCCCCGGAGAGCACCCGTGCACTGTTCAGATGCCTCCAGCTCGTCCCCCAGAGCCCCCGCCTGTGCTACAGCCCCTGCAGGAAACCAGTCCGAGACCTGAGCTGTGTCAGTCTGACTTCACACCCCGGAAGGACCGGAACGACAGCTAGCTCACCGTGACCGGCATTTCTTTGCCTTTGCAACACGCCCCACCCAACACTTACATCCAGAAAAAATGTCCTGTCCGCATACCAGCGTCTCCTGCAACCGTCCGAGACACGCCGCAGTGCAGAACACGGAGGCGTGCGGCTCCCGAAAGTTCCGGAGCCAGTGTCGAGCTGTTGTTCTGTTAATCCTGGACATGCGAAATCTTTCGGTGACGCCATTTTTACACAAATAAAGGCTCCTTGGCTGGCAGTTCTTACCGGCTGCTTGGCAGTATACAGAGATGTTCGTGCCCATTTTAAAGATGGTGGGTGGTTCCACCCAGATGCTGCCAGAGCAGTTTATATTTGTAATTCCTGGAAACAAACAAATAAAATAAAAATGTCCGTGGAAATATTACAACAGATGCTGGTGCATTTAAAATTTTTTCTTTTATATTAAGAGGTTTCTACTGAAGAGAATTTATAACTGTGCATCCTTAGTGTGTTTTTATCCTGTGTCTACTCCTGTGCAGCTACACGATAGGCGAGAAGCCAGCTTTCAATCTTTCCTCACTGTCTAAAGAGCAAAAATTATGAACTCTCCTACGTTAGCGTAGGGTAGCTGACGCGCTGGGAAGCTAAGCCGCATTTCACAGGTAAGGTCAGGAAGAATATTGGGCACTAGCGAATCCAGACCCTAGTCCTCAGAAACACAGCCAATCTCTGCTTCTTTCTTTGCTTTTAAAGATCAGATCTACTTTTCTCACACACTTATGAATATAATGAATAAAACAATACTCATGCAAATGACAAAAACCCAGTGCTCAATCACCACATAAAATTCTTCATTAATTTGACAGTGCCGAAAATGTTCAGAATGTATACTGTTAAATTAAAAAGCAAATTGCAAAAAAATATATTTAATATAGGCTCAGTGATGGAAAGAAGTAAATAAGCAGGTGAACTGAAGGGGGAAAAATTAAGATATTAAAGGGAATCTGTTAATTTTTCATTTTTCAATTGAATGCATTTTCAAATAGATGTATTACTCCATAAATAAAAACAAATAATACAAAGTCACTGGGCTGGGAATATAGATCACTGGTAGACCATTTGCCCTGAATGAATAAAGCCCTGGGTTTGATCTCTAGTAAAAAAGAAAAAGTCATATTTATAAACTCAAATGACAATGCAATTCAATAATAAATGAAATTTATACTAGAAATTCTGTGAAATTTATTATAGGCATTTCCTAGAAATATTAGTATTAAAAAATCTTTATAAAGGCAATGATATTAAATGTCAGTACTTGACTTAAAAAGGCTCTTATACTTGGAACTCAAAGCTTAAACAATCAACTTGTTACATAATATAAATGTAATTGCCTCCTTCCATTTGTGTAGTTAAAACTTCTATACACATTATAAATATTGAAATGTTGACATAATGATAAAAGGAAGACATTAAAAGGAAGATTTAAGAAAATATCTAGATACTTCAAATGAATTCGACAATTCAAATTTAGACAAATCACATCTCCAGCATAAGATACGTGTGAATGCTATCACAGAATTCTTGAGAATATCTAGAAAAATCAAAAGTAGTAGAATCTGGATCTGGTCAAATGTCCTGGTTTTCAAAAATAGAAGAAAGAACTGCAGAAACACTGGACCACTGAGCTTCATGACATTCAGGTGTGAATTAAATCTATATTCTTTCAGAAAATGGCAAAACAAGGTCAATGATCAATAGAAATCAGATTACAGGAGAAAATCATCCAAAAATGATAATTTCCCTTTTAGAGGGAATATTAGTTGGCTTAGAGAAATGCTAAACATATTTCTGAAAAGTTGCTGAAAACGAGTAACAGAATCACGCTGGAAAACTTGGGAAAATGTAGCTTGGATGATAAGAAAGGTAACAGAGTGGACACTGTATAAAGTAATTCCCCGGGCACACTCGACAGCCCCTAACACTGTGTCCTGGGAGCCCTCTACCTGAGTGTGTGAGTGGAAGTGCTGCTTGCTCTCCTCCTATTTCTGGAAGCCAGGAAAGGGCAGGTGCTTTCTTTCCTCTACAGCTTCCGGGACAGCTGTCACCTGGCTCGAGCAGACCCCAAATCACCCCTGCATTTGTCCTGAACCTGAGGATGGAGCCACAGCGACAGCTCCAACACCCTGGCCCCGGAGCCTGTCCACGAGGCCCTTTCTGTCACTCTGTGAAACGTCACCCCAGGTCTAGAACCTCGCCTTGGTGCGGTTTGTCTCCCAGGACCTGAATTCCAGTGCAACTCAATAATAACGAAAAGTCCACTGCTGCCCGGCCTCAGCTTCTGGCGCTGCCCTTCCATGCCCGTCCCGGGTTCCTCACCACACAGGACTCTGGTCTGCGGAACAGCGTCAGACGGGAATCGTCACAGCACCTTGGGGCCCTGCAGGAGGTGGCAGGGATCACGGACAGGCAGTGCAGAGCCGGCACGGTCACCGTCAGCACTTGGGTCATGGGCTGAGTGAAACTCGGGCCTTTGGGGCAGTTACAACAGCCCCAGATAGAACACACCAACTCAAGCAATAAATGTTCCACCGCGGTCCAAGAGGAATATCTGAGAAAGCAAGCCTGCATTTGGGGGAAGGCTCAACCATTGTTATTTCATCTCATGTAATTTTTTTTTTTTTTTTTTGAGTGTGGGTGGGTTTGAGACAGGGTCTCGCTGTGCAGTGCAGGCTAACTTTGAACTCACTATGTAGCCCAGGCTGGCCCGGACCTTCAGCAACGCTCCTGCCTCAGCCTCCTGAGTGCTGGGATACAGGCTTGCACCGCCACGCCCAGCTGTCTCATATAATTTTTATGTACACATAGTTTCCCAGTTGAGTTCTTTTTATATCCTTCAGCGATCCTAGCATAATACCTTGAAAGTTATAACCAGTCAATGTCTCACTTGTTGAACAAAAGGTAGAGATAGGTATGCAAAATACTTTACCTCCGTGGCACCAGGAGAAGAGAACATAAAGGGTTATCAACACCTCCAGCTGAATCGCCACCTGATTCATGCCCGAAGGCAGGAAAAAGCCTTTCTTTTCTGGAAAAAGATCACAAAAATGTTTACATTGTACTTTCACGAAGTGATAAAGACCAGTACGCCTTTCCTGACAGTTACTGGCTTTGATGGGAACACTTGGTCATTAAGGCGGGAGAGGGAAGGGGAGAGAGAAAGCGCGGCAGGGAACCGGGCGGGGGAAGGTCACGGTCTGTGAGGAGGCACAGAAAGAGGCAGACGCGGTCAAGCAAAAGAATGGAGTCCTACGCCCGCAAAGATCGCCAGCTTTCTTTAGCGGGACATCTGCCCCTTGTTAAGAGCAGCGCTCCTCACTTGGGCTGTCTTCTCGGTCAGCGCCTCTTTCTGCTCTGACTTCTGACGATGAATTCTTTCCCCGACCAGAGTTATGCATCAGTCCTGCCCCGAACATATCAGCTTTTGGTGAGCAAAACTTGGAAAAAGCCAACTTTTCAGAAATCCCAGAGAAAAAGGATATACAAAGAGAGACAAAGGCATGTGCACTGTGACCAGGGAAATTTACAGAGCCCGTCGTCTGAGGACAAAGAAACGGCGCAGAAATGCCAGCAACACTGGTACCCATCTATAACCGGAGCTACGTTATTCAGTTCCCCAGTCACTCACATCACTGAATAACTCTGTTCCTCGACAGTCCCTGTTCTTCACCTACTATGTTTCCATCTGTTCAGTAAACCCCGAATCTTTCACAGAAAAGAACCTCAGCACACGCCGGAGCTCATCAAAGAGCACAGACCATCTGGTCACATTTTCAAGAACAAGCATGCGTGTGGCTTAGGAATTTCCATCCTTCTCACAATTCAGGGGCAATAAGATCTTCCCTCTGTAGATAAGAGGTAACACGAGCCTGGATATTCCTAGTTAGAAGTCAGCTACTCACCTGATGCAAGAGATGCAAAAGCAATAATGAAAAGTGACCGGACACCAAACAGAACTCCAGGCCCGGCTGCCATCTGCCACCACCGTCTGACACGACCGTGAGGACGGAGAAGAGGAAGCCACCGGTCCCCTGGGTCCCAGTGGGAGCCGCGCCTGCCCTGAAGTGCTGGGTGACTGCGGTCCCTGTACCTGTCCTCCCTCTCACCAGCAACGGGCGCCTCAGGTCTGCAGCTCTGAGGTCCCTGGAGCTCACTACCTGTCAGCAGAGCCCTGACCTACATTTCTGAGCCTTGAGAGGAACTCAAAGTGCCCATTTCTAAATGACTGGCTGTCTTGTCACTTGGGAAAACCCAGACTGCTGAAAGTGAGCTGGTCTGTCGTACTTTTTTCCCTCAGCTTACTTTACAATGGTCTCAGCCACATGTAGGGGTTCCTGCCTGAAATCCCAGCACTCTGGGAAGGCTGAGGCAGGAGGGTCACAAATCTGAGCTCAACCTGGGGTACTTAGTGACTTGGTAAGACTCTATCTCAAAGTACAAAGTAAAAAATAAAACAGAGCTAGGAACGTAGCTCAGTGAAATCGGGGCTCACTCTTTAATGCTATAAATATAAATACAGTAAGTAAACAGATCAATAGCTGGGTGTAGTGGTGCATGCCTATTATTCCAGCACTTGGGAGGCTGGGACAGAAGGGTCACTGCAAGTTCAAGCCCAGCTGGGCTCCATAGTGAGTTCAAGGCCAGCCTGAACTACACAGTGAGACCCTATTTTTCTCATCAAGAAATAGCACACAGGGCTGGGGATTTAGCTCAGCGGCAAAGCGCCTGCCTGGCAAGCGCAAGGTCGTGAGTTCGGTTCCCGGTACAGGAGAAAAACCAAAAAAAAAAAAAAAAAAAAAAGGGGGGGGGGGCTGGGGATTTAGCTCAGTGGCAAAAGCGCCTGCCTGGCAAGCGCAACGTCGTGAATTCGGTTCCTGGTACCAGAGAAAAACCAAAACCAAAAAAAAGAAATAGCACACATATACACACTTCATTGGTCATAATTTTTGAGATAAAAAAACTATGGTTTTAATTTGTAACCAACATTGGTACTAATTATAATCTGTTTCTTTATTGAACTTTTTCAGCTTGGAAATAAAATTGACAGGTAAGACTCTGTATTTTTACAGAATTTGTGTCCCGCATTGTGTGAAACGATCCTACCAGAGCCAGACAGCTTTCACACGTACCTCACCTCACATAGATGTGTTGTGCTGCTTTGTTTGTTTGTTCTGTTTTGTGGTGAGAACATACAAGCGCACTTTAGGGCCTAACTCCATGTTGTAGCCACTGTCACCATGCTGTGTGTTCGATCCCGAACTGACTCATCCCATAACTGAAAATTTGTGCCTTTTGAGCAACATCTCCTGTTCCCAGGCTGGCTTTACCTAGAAACCATCACTGTACTCTCCGTTTCTACGAAGTCAGCCTTTTCATGTTCCACATGCGAGGTCCTGCGTTCTTCGTCTCCGTCTGACTTGCTTGGGTTCGGCGGCAGGACTGGCAGGACTTCCTCTGGGTGAGGCTGCACGAGGAGCAGGTTTTCTGCAGGGTTCACAGCCTGTCCCGCGACGGCTGTCCTGCAGGTCCCTGTGGATACCGGTAAACTCGGGAGGGACACTTGAGCTGAATGAAGCTCTACACCGGGAGGTCTACTCAGAGTGACCGGAGAGTGGCGCCGTGGCTGGGAGCAGGAAATGCTGACATAAAGAACAGGAAGAAATCCAAGACGGGCGCGTGGGCAGCACCCACGCTGGTCGGAGGTTAAATACGGCGACACTGGCCAGGAGCTCCAGGCCTTTTGCTTAGTTCGAGGTAAAAATCACGAAGAGGCGGTAGCAATAGCAGGACACTTTTATTAGGGCTGGTACTTGAAATTAGAGACAGCACCTGGGCAGGTGAGGGCCCCCCAGGGGCTCTCTGAAAGGAGTCACACACTGTGCTTTACAGGGGGGTTTTGGCAGTGTGCTGGGCATAGCTAGCTCCTACACACCACCCCAGAGTTCCACTTACCTCTTACCGGTTTTCTGCTCCTGGCAAGGTCCTCACTGGGCTGGGTGACCTGCTTGTGCCTTGGGTCCAGCTGCACTCAGCTCCCAAGAGGTGGTCGAGGGCTCACTACTGCCTTCCCAGGAAGGCGGCAGAGTGCTCCAGCTGGGTGTTCATGGTTTCAGGGAAGGTATTTACAAGCTGAGAAGGCAGTTGGAGGTTGCAGCATACTTATCCAGTAGCTGCCATCCCAGCCTTGTTGGTACTGGGAACCAGTTTCAAGGAGACAGTGTTTCCACACAGCAAGAGGAGGTGGCACGAAACGCATACTCAAGTTCACGTAGGGTTCGAGTTCCTGTGAGAATCTGGCACTGGCCTTGCTCAGCAGAGCAGGCAGAGTGCAGAGGCAGCGATGGGAGCCATGGGGAGCCGGTGTAAACACAGATGAAGCTTTGCTTGCTGGCTGCTCACCTGCCGTGCACCCAAGAGCTGGAGACCCCTGTCCTAGGAATGTAAAACCTTGGTGGGGGAATCACGGCCTCCCTATTGTGTCTCAAGAAGAAATAAAGGGGCAGGGATATAGCTCAGCATCACAGTGCCTGCCTGGCAAGCACAAGGTCATGAGTTCAATTCCTGGTACCAAAAAAAAAAAAAA